TGGACATGCTACAGCACAGAGGTAAACCCCACCACCACCCCCACAACTATTCAAACTTGGCATAGTGATCCAGGGATGCTGAACTTTGGTTTGACAACAAAAGAGGCAGGGGATCACAGCACAGCCTAATGATTTGCAGGCAAGAAAACATGGATGGTAAAAACTGCACATGGAGAAAAGATCACTACACTACAACAAAATCAATCATTAATACTGGAGTTGAACAGGCACATGCAGTAGGAAATCAAGAAAATATAAAGTCAGTTTTGTTTAAAATCATATCATATGTTATTTTAGACATGAATATCTATTTGAGTGATGATTTCTCGGTTTAAAAAGAGCCACAATTCATTCATTATGAATTTGAGGTGCATATTTCTGGTACTGTAATTGGCTCTTTTTAAGCAGTGATGGGAAAATATGTGATATAGGTGTAGCCCACTACTGGCTTACAGCCATGATAGCAGAATTGGGCTTAATGCTTTGTTTGTAGGAATTAATAAAGTACTACAGATAAAGTAGTACTTTATCTGTTTTGGTGGTGTAAAGTATAATCTGGTTTACTGTAAATGTTCCACAAATAATAATAATAAAGAAAACTAACTGTTAAATGAGTAAATAAATATAGAGTTATACATGATGGAAATCTGGCAAATTATTGTAGTCAAAAGGAACATATTTGCATCACATACTAACCTGTTTTTCAGACACTATGATTGGCTCCTTAAGGACGATCCAGATGACGCTCTCATGTAGGGGGGGTGTGGTCAGTGATCCCGGGTATGTCCAGTAGTGGAGGCTGCTGGGTAGGAGGCACTTTGGGTTGAAACCTTTGAAATCTGTGACACTAGCCTGAAACAGAAATACAAAGACAACAGTTTTTTGCTATTAGTGCAGTAATGCCGATAGCATAATAAACTACATCCAGTAGCAATCACAGTACTCACCTTAAACTTCACCATGAACAGAGCGTCTGTTATCATGTGGAGCCATCTGTGGTCGTCACCTGTCTTCCGCAACAGACAAGTTTGTTTTTGAAATTCAATTTTTGACTTTTGAAGGGAATGCATATCAAATAATTTCTTAATTCACAAATGTAATATCAATGGCACAAAAAAATGTAGAAGACAACATAAAATGAGTGCAGAAACAACACTCATTCTGCCTTTGCTTCTGTTCAGCTTACCATGACAAAAACGGTTACACTAATACAAAATGGACGGAAAAAAAGGGGGGCACAGAAAATGGTATTGTGCTGAAGAGACTCATCTTACTTCCAAAAAGATTCCAAGGACAGCGAGGCCGTCTGGAGCTGCTGCAGCCTCCCCAAAAGCCTTATACTTGACAGCATTCCAGTGCACTAGATGAAGCTGAAGGAGGACATAGAAGGAAAAAGAAAGATAGAAAGAAACAGAATGGGGGTAAAAAAGGGCTTTTATGGTCAAATAAAGTAACTCAAGTCATGCATACTACATTATAGTACATCTACATCCTGTTCTTCATATAGTGCACATTATCTTTTTAAAATTGGGTTGAATGTAGGAATGACACACCAATGCTCAAATATCTATGATTATATTGGGAGATTCATTATTTTGACATCAGTGTAAAAAATAAAGCCTACGTCCACATACACAGAGGGAAAAGGCCAGTAATTAGCAGCAAATCCGTATTTTGATTTTATTTTATAGAAAAATGCGTTACCCCATGCAATATACCTGCCAAAAATAGGATAAACCATAGGTTAATCCCATGTTTTGATGTACTGAAGTATACAGATCCATACTGACCTCAGATGCATAGCTAATTCCTTCAACAGTGTGCTCAGAGCCATGGCAGCCCTTTCCACCCCAGTGGAAGTGAAACTGTTTCAGTCTGTAGGGGTTGTCAAGAGGTCCTCCCTGGATCACTGTAGAAGATGAGAGATGTTAAAAGACATTCACACACCCACAACCCTACTCTCTGTGGGTGTCAAAACTGCTTTCTAGCCCAATACTGCATAGCCATAGTAAACCTGGTAACACCCAGCAGACAGACAGTCTGCTTTATCAAGAAATCTATCATTAGAGCTCTATGGCACAAGCTTTAGTTTGGTATACAAATAGTCAAGTCCATGATAAATATGAACGTTAAAGCTACAATTAGGTTGGCTTAGCTTTCAGTTCAGGTCCATTGGCCAACAAGCATCAGTACATTGAATAATGACACTCAGCCCATTATCAGGATAGTACAGCCTGTTTTCAGAGCCTACAGCTTGCACCGCTGGGTATCTAATCTGATTGTTATTCATTGTGATGCTGCTGACATCCTTCTGACAAAACGGGCCACTCCAGTCCAGGTCAGATTAGCTATGGATGAATGGGAGAAAAAAAGCAAAACACTTATCTTGCCATCTTGCAATATAGATGAAAGGGGAATAATGTGATAGTAACAGGTATGAAGAATTATAAATAACTGATGCTGGTCAGGTCCGTATGGTGAAAATGATAAATAAATCATGTAAATAATGTTTTTATTTTGACATTTAGTGCCAGATCTTTGATATGATAAATATGATCAGTTTGAATTACTTGAATAGTGCAAATCTGTCCTCATATAAACTTTGATTTATTTTATTCTATCCTCCTTTTTCTTACCATACAAACAGTGACGCTTTAAGCAGTCAGGTGTGAATGTATGCATGTGGTGCACCCAGACCAAGCCACACATGGCAAACTGACAACAGCAGGTTTAGGGGATTTGTGCACCTCATTTGAACTATGGAAAAATGCTGAGGAAGAGCATTTGTTTTCCTACAGGTCTCCTCTTTCATTAATTATTTTCAGTGATGGCTACTTGCTTGCTCTGTGGAAACTGTCTGAGCCAAAGCGCCCCACATTTCTGAGGTTATCATTCATGGTAATGATGGGGTGGTTAACGTGGATCCACCCAGCGATAGAAGCAAACAGGGTCATAATAACCACCAAGATCATCTAAGGTTATTATTTCTCTTGTCCAGCAGACGGATACTCATACAGTTAACTGCTGGCTGCATTTCCTTGCAGCATAATCAGGGGCTTATTTGTAACCTTTGATTATGGCCAGTTATGCACATGGTTTGCACTTTCTAAAAACCAAGGTAATCCCACCTTTCAAGCATATGATTGTTGAAAAGTCAACTTTTAGCACAGATTTCCACTGCATGTGGCTGACAAACATATCAGTGCCCAGATTATCACTGAACTGTGATCCCTGTCAATAACTGCAAGGCAGTCATCTTTTAATACAACCATAGGTCATGTCATATCAGTGATCATAGCTCCTGCCAAGACATTACTATCATTCAAATCATCAACTTGAACTCAAGAAACTACAGCTGAAATTACAGGTGAATGCAAATAAAGTTTTTTTTTCTCACCTGAACGGTCATCAGAGTCATCAAAGTCCACAACAACAGAGTGTCCATTGTTGGCAATGTTGATGGAGGTGCACTGATCATAGTTTAGGACAATCGGGCCCAGACCAGGGTCATGGGAAGCCTGTTGAGGGACGATGTCAATGGGAGACTGCCGGTTCCCCTCGGCAACGGGGAAGTTTTTGTGCCATACAGAGGGACCTTATCATGTAAGAAGAACATTAAATAAACAGATCATTTTAATGCTTTTGCACTTATGCCTTCAGCTATATTTTGTGTGATGATCAAATGTGCCTTAAATTAAAACAAAATAATGAATTGAGTCACCTGCAAAGACAAATATTAAATACTTTAAAAAGCACAGTAATAAAACAAAGTTATGGTTTTTGATTTAACTCAACTAATTTAGTTAAAGCTACTGCAAACCACTAACTGATCAAGGTCAGTCAAGGAATATATGGGACCATCAACATGAAATTAGGACCCAAAGAACCAAAAAAAAAGAAATTTGGGAAATTCACTCAAGACTGTCTCAATGTAGCACATTACATAAAGCAACATATATTGACCACAACCCTGATGCAATGTAATATTTCTGACTCGAGAGCCCAGGACAGATCAAGTGGAGGTAAGGTGAAGGTGACAGCAGACTTCCCTTTAAGCATGTGGCTAATCTCGCATTAACAGCGTTACTCATCTGCGTTACTTCTCCTGGATAACGCGCAGCGCCACCAGCAAATCGGAAAAACACTAAACTAAAAATGAGTGTAGCATAGAGAGTTTGGCTGATTGCCTCCACTCTGGATTGTAAAGCAATAAGGAGCTCCTGGAGCTTGGGTTGCTGTAAGGTCTTACCGTCCTCTTTTCCATATCCCCAGTGATTCCCTGTCATTGTCCCTGTCTCAAGTCTGACCAAGCTGCTCCGGTGCGCACGCGGAGCACAGACACGAGCCGGTGCAGCTATTGATGAAGTTTATGTAGTGGCCAAAGGGGAAGGACAATTATCCCTTTTCTTGACACGCCCCTTCACGCCCCCACACACACACACACACACACACACACACACCTGTCCACCTGTCCAAGGGTTTAAAGCTAATCTTGTCTAATGTTGCTGCATTAGGTCAGCCCTCTTATGACTTAATGCTTTCAGTAAGATATTCGATAATTAGTCTGCAACAATGTCTTTTTCTATATTAAAATGATGAAGGATTTTTTGCATATTATGACCATGTGTTTCATGAGAAGCGTCTCCTCATTATACAAACTATACATTTGCCGACCATGTTATAAAAATAGTCTATAGTTTTACCTTTTAGAGAGGAAAAAACAATAGCTACAAATGCATTGAAATGGGTTGGGGTTTGTAAGGCATGTTGGGCTTTAGGAAATGTTTCACTATTTTCTTTAAGATTTAGATTTAGACCATGTTTTTACTGTATATGTTCAGTGCACATAAAGGGTCGCTTGACTTATTTTACTACGAACACAATTTTATGTCACAATTTAACGATATTGTATGACAGGTGAAAGGTCTAAAATAATTTGGAAATCGCGGTGATAATTTGTGTCGAAAGTGCGCAATTAAAATTTCGCGGGCACGTTTGCGTCGAATCTGTCGATGAGGAAATAAAACTGTGCCAAGAGACGTCACTCATTAGAAAGCTACAATGGCAGCCACCAACGCCTCCAAAGAACAGAAATACGACAGACAGCTCAGGTAAAATTTAAACTAAATTCTACATTTCGCAGAAAAAACAAAAAACCCATAAATATCTTCAGCTAAATGTTCTGTGCATTTCTTCTGAGCGGTCGCAGCAGAAACAGTGGTGAGGCTGGACTGCTAACGTCAGCTAGCGTTAGCTTGCTCTGTGCCTTATAGTTATTACAGCATCGGCGAGCTATCACATCAGATATACGGTTCATCAACACTACCAGCTGCTCTAATGACTGCCGTTACCTTGGCATCATTTATCCTGACTGCTTTTGATGGTTAAACCAGTGTAACAATACATGGCAGTCAATGTAATTGAAGCTATCATACCACAAGCCAAGCTAATTCATTCTTGCAAAGTGCTTTGTTGTGGTTGAGGATGACTTGTATGTAACACATGTCCATTTTTCCGTTGTGTGCTTTCAGGTTGTGGGGTGACCACGGTCAAGAAGCACTGGAGAATGCACATGTTTGCCTCATCAACGCCACAGCAACTGGAACAGAGATCCTGAAGAACCTCGTACTTCCAGGTAAACAGATGTGGCTCTGGGTTGTGTTGCTCTGAAGCAGGTGCTGATCAAAGCATCTGATTAAATGAATTGATCTCTTCGTCAGGTATTGGAGCATTCACCATAGTTGATGGACACACAGTGTCAGGGGAAGATGTTGGAAACAAGTAAGACAACAGTTTTGTTGACAGTTGATCTAAGCATACAATAATATGTGTTAGTTTTATTATGTGTATTCATGGCTGACCTGTTTATCCTGTCTTGCAGTTTTTTCCTAAGCAACAACAACATTGGGAAGGTATGCTTTCACAAAATAAATGCATTTATGTTACAATTTTCTTTTTTTCCACCTGCGTCTGCATGACTCCTCCTCAGTTATTCATAGTCATTGTTACTTTTCTTGTTGAATGAAAATCATTTGTATATTTTTGAGACCTGACCTTAGTTTTTATGTTGCAGAACAGAGCACAGGCTGCCACTGAGCTGCTACAAGAACTGAACAGTGATGTCTCTGGAAACTATGTTGAAGAGGTTAGTATGATCAAGGTTTGACATGGTGCCACAGATGTTTTCACAGCAATAATAATGTTTAATAGTATTTACATCACATTCAAACACGTTAAAAGATTGGAAAATGCTCTACAAGGTTAAAAGATAAATCTTACATTTCTCACGTTTCTTTAAATAGAAGCAGATCTATGAATCCACATATGCTGTGTAAATATGTAAATGTATCAGTTGGTATCATCACTCTGATAGTGACACAGATCCTGTTTGTCTTTCCTGTTGCTCCCTCAGAGTCCAGATAAGCTTCTTGACAACGATCCAGAGTTTTTCCACAGGTTTACCGTAGTCATCGGTGTCCACTTGCCAGAAAGGTATGAAATATAGTTCATATTTACTTTCACATATTATTGTATCAAAATAGTTAGTTAATTATATTGGACCCTATAGTATGCTGAACTAGGATTTTCAGTATCATTTCATAGAAATATCCAAATGTTGTGCAGTCCTTCCTGAATGGAGCATTTAGAACTCTGGCAGGGCTTTATTTTAGAAATACAATGAAGCAACATAAAATTAATTGTATACCTTTTTTTTTTTTTTTTTTAAATCATTTTGTTAAGACTGTTTAAACTGAATTGGCTTGATTTGTTGTTTTTTTTCTGTCCAATTAACTAATTCAACAGCACGTGTTTGAGGCTAGGCTCAGTTCTGTGGAGTGCCTCTGTACCATTCCTAGTGTGTAAAACCTACGGCCTGATTGGCTACATGAGACTAGTGGTGCAGGAGCATACAGGTTAGTTCACAACTTTAACTTAAACGTTTAATTGGTTTTGTATGTATATGAGTGGAATGCTTTCAGTTCACGGTGGGCCATTGGCCATGAAATGCAGTACTGTGAAGAATGTTGACATGTCATAAATTAGCCTCTATAGTCAAGTCTTTACATGAGACGTCTGCCTGTATTCACAGTTTTGGGAATTTCACTGTAGCTCAGATACCGTAGTTCATACGGATATTTGATTTTAAAACTTTTATATTATCATGTTACCGCCTCTCTCAGTGATCGAATCTCACCCAGACAATGCCTTGGAGGACCTGAGGTTAGACCAGCCTTTTGCGGAGTTCAAGAACCACATTCAGTCCTACGACCTTGACAGCATGGCGAAGAAGGTGTGTACTTTGGTGTCAGCACATTTGTGTTTGCAGATTAGTATGTTTAAACTATGCCTGGTTCACAAAAATGACAGTACTCCTTTCCATTCTTTATTTAATCTGTAGGATCACAGTCACACACCGTGGGTCATCGTTGTTGCTAAATACCTGGCGAAATGGCTCAGTGAGGTACACTACATTATCTGTGGCCTCCTTTGTGCCAACATGTCTCTCAAATACTCCATCACTCATATTTATTCTGCAGTGTCTTTGTTAGTGTTTCCATACCATATAATGTCCCTCTACTTCTGTCAATGTAGCACAACAGTCAGCCACCGAAAAATTACAAAGAGAAAGAGGCCTTCAGACAGTTTATTCGGGAAGGTAACAGTGAATCTCTGGATTGTAGTTTCCCATATGTTCAGTGACTTTGCTGTGTAACTCAAATTTATCTGTGATTGACTTTCCCTTTTTTGTGTTACTTTTTTTTTTTTTTTAGGGATCCTGAAGAATGAGAATGGTGTCCCAGAGGATGAAGAAAACTTTGAGGAAGCTATTAAGAATGTCAATACTGCTTTAAACCCAACCAAGGTGCCAAATCTCAAATACATTTTAAACCACTAATCGCTGTTTTCTATAGTATTACACATGTTAAGTCTAGTGAGACTCTGCTAATAATGTCTCTTATTTCTCCAGGTTCCTAATTCTGTTGAAGACCTCTTCAATAGTGAGCAGTGTAACAACATCACATCACAGGTTTGGACTTTCTTCCTCAATCGTTCTATTAAAAATACATCTATAGTTACAGCATAGTTTTAAACAGGAATGTATTGTTGGTGCATGTTTTCTAGTCCCTGTCCTTCTGGGTGATGCTGAGAGCTGTTAAGGATTTTGTTCACAAGGAAGGCAATGGAAGCTTACCTGTACGAGGAACCATCCCAGATATGATTGCAGATTCTCAGAAGTTCATCAACCTTCAAAATGTGTAAGTGTGGAATATATGGGTGTTAGCTGGGCTAGCTAGCTGCTATCTTGTCCAACAGTAGGTCTGGATCTATATCTCTCTTTGTAATAGTGCATGATTTTATAATGTGGGTGTTTTGCCGTTCATTTTTGTGTTTTTATTTCAGTTACAGGGAAAAGGCCATGCAGGATGCGGCTGCTGTTTCTAAGCATGTAGAATGTCTATTGCAGTCTGTTGGAAAGGTATGTTGGAAATCACTGAACTCAGTGAAAAAGAGGTTAGTCTGAAAACATCTTGACTGTTTTTAAATTTAGGACACAAATACTTTCCTAGATTCTATAACTGCATCTAGACAAGCTTAACTAACTTGGGAAGACACATTTGTGATTAGCTGTGAAGACCTACAACAAAACTGGCTGTTATTTCAGTTGGAAATCACTTTTTCCATCTTTGCATTTGACTAAAAATTGATTTTCACTGACATTACTTTTCTTTTCCACTAGCCACCAGAGAGCATCTCTGAAAAGGACATCAAACTGTTCTGTAAGTAACATTCTGTGATTAACAACCCATATTATATATTATACATCTCAGTATAAAATAAATTAAAAGATTATTCCTTTAAAACACAGCCTGCACTTTTTCATTTTCAAATAAGTTCTGTAATGCCTGAAAATATGTTAAAAGGTCACTACTTCGAATAATGCCTTTTTTAGCCTTTCACTAATCTGCCTGATCTGCTTATTCATGGTTATCAGTGTATTTACCCATGGAAACATACCCACTGGGGATCTTTTTTGACATGAATATATGTACAGATGTTGGTACAATGCATCAATTCAAACTACCTTATACCATATATTCATCAGTCGTATTTTGTTCCTTTACCACGCTAATGTGCTGCCTTTTCTGCAGTTTTCATTTCCCTGTGCATGGCTGCTTAAGATTTGTAATGCTGTATAAAATTTCAGTCTGCATACAAGTGTAGTCTAAACTGCTCTATTGCTGCACCGCATTACATTTTATTGCTAACTGTAGGCATTTGTCTTGTTGTCAAGGTAAGAATGCATCCTTTCTGAGAGTGGTGCGCTGCAGATCTCTGGCTGAGGAATATAGTGTGGATTCGGTAAATAAAGATGAAATCAGTAAGTTGGAGATTAATTTCCTTTCTGATTAAACTGTTCATTCTTGTTCATTGTTCATAATTTGCTCTGACTCTAGTACTGTTTTCACCTCTCCTAATATAAACCATATTCACCTATTAACGGTACTTATGTGTCCTCAGCGTCATGCATGGACAATCCAGATAGCGAGATGGTATTCTACCTCATGCTTCGTGCCGTTGATCGCTTCTATCAGCAGCACTCTCGCTACCCAGGTACGGCCAAAGTTTATACAGATTTGTCGTTAAAGAATTCACTAAATCAAATGGGTGCAGAACCATACCAACTTGTGCCATTTATAGGGAAGGGAAGTAATAGCACGTAGATGCATGTCAACGTGGCCACCTACTACACAAGTAAAACAGAAAGTAGTAGCTGCTACAATACTTGTGCAACCTGCAGACAATGATTGACAAGATTTTTATGGCTCTTCCACATTTAACTCGTATCCCTTATGTCTTTGTTTTATATTGGTTGAGCTGTGTACCCTTGTCACAGTCAATATTATTATCATCTCAAGAGCTCTGTAGAGACCGTGGATGCAATGATGTCGAAAAGAAGTGGCAGGTGTATCAAGAGGAAAGGCTTATTATTTCACACTATACCGTACACATCATAGTCTGTTTATACTCTGCATAATTATGTACATCATTTCCTCCTGCCAGAATACAGAAATGCAATTATTTTATTACTCTCATTTTCTTTTCTTTTACCACCTGTTCACCCTTACCAGGAGTTTATAACTACCAGGTGGAGGACGACATCAGCAAACTGAAGCTCTGCGTGAACAGCCTACTGCAGGAGTACAGCCTCAACGTCAACATCAAAGACGATTACATCCATGAGTTGTAAGTCATGGTTGCTGCTGGATTTACTGATTGGAGTTATTGTTAAAATGTGCTGAATAATGATTCATTCTTTCACCTTTGTCATAACTTGCAGCTGTCGATATGGTGCAGCAGAGCCACATACAGTTGCTGCATTTTTGGGAGGTAATATTTTAGCACTCTTTAAGAAATTGATACACGGCATATCCCAACCTATATAGTGCTGATAAATTCACATTTCTTCCCTTTTAATGTCTTTCTGTAGGATCTGCTGCTCAGGAGGCCATCAAGATTATCAGCCACCAGTTTGTGCCCTTCAGCAACACTTTCATTTACAACGCAATGTCACAGACCTCTGCTACTTTACAGTTGTAAATCCAGTTACTGATTCTGAGGTTGCTTACATAAGTATCAGAGAAAATGGAGAAAGATCAAAAGAGGCATTTACCAGCTTGCTTTCATAAATCTAAACTGTAAACTGCACATCAATCTGTTTGGAAGAAAGAAAGCGTTTTTATCACACTGGAATGGGATAACTTCCCAAATGTGTGCACTTAAACCTAAAAATGCAGAAGATCGAGGGTCAGGACTCTTCAGACTAAAGGTTCCATCAACCATAGAGCCACGCCACCTTCTAAAAGGTCCTGAAGGGGATGAAATCCAGATAACACCCACAGACGATTTCTACAAACATTTGTTTTTGGTTCATTAAACAAAGCTGGAAATGAAACTAGCAAATTTAAAACTTTCCTGTTGTATTTCTATCTGTTAAGCTCCACATTTTGGATGATGTATTACATTTTAGCAGCACTTTGTGTACTTTAGTCACAACAGGCTCTTATTGCTTGGAACACGTGGAAGATTTTTCGTTAAAATGGCAAAACAATGAACATATTGTATGTAGTGTTGAATTCTAATGTATTGTTATAAAAACATTCAATATTTTACCAGAATTTGGTTATTTTTATGTCTAAGCTGAAGCTTTGCAACGTGCAAAAAAAAAAAGAGATTAGTCCCTTGTTTGTTTGCCAATTTCTGGGCTTGTGGTGTGACCTCTGGTGAGTTAAGCAAGTGTGATTTGTTGACTTGTTTCATAGTTGAAACAAGGATTACACAGTTATTTAGCCTGAATAAATGTTAGATGACAAGCATGTGAGCTTTAGAGGCCCGTAATGTGACTTACCCTCTGGCAGGATTCACATGCAACCCAGGTTAAGATGAGTTTTGTTAGTGAGTGGATGACATTATTTTTATCCAACACTAGAGGGCACTCTTCCATGTGTTACACTTCATAGGTGGACGTGTAGTTCCAAGTATACTTCACATACCTGTACATTGACCAATGCCTGAATGTTTACCATTATATACGCCTGGATAGACATAATCAGCTAAAACTTGCAATGTTAAGTATTCGCCAATATGTTTCTCATTAGCTCTGCCTGAGGTGCCTGGAAGGGTGGAGGAGTATGATCTAACATGCAGCACAGAGTCCTGTTAGAGATCTACATTATGAGGGTCATTGTGATGTAACTGTTGATCGGGTGAAGTTTTTCATTTGTTGTTTTTTTTTTTTTTTCTCAGACTTTGGCAGAATGGAAATTTGCCCTCAGCAGATCTTTTCCTTGTAAGACTACATCCACCCCCCTCAGCTCTCCCCATGCAGCGATCTGTCTCACATTCTCATACACTCACACCCTCCGTCTCCCTCTGTCTGAGAAGGATAAAGCAAGTTGCCAAGAAGTACTCTAGCCATCTCCTAAATGAAGATTTTGTCCCCTGCCTAAAAGATTATCATGTGTCCATCCATCCTCCCACTGCCTCTTAAGATTATCATGTAGTTGCAGTGCCAGCTTTATTAGGCCAAACCAGACAGTTTTCCTTTTAGTAAAGGTGGAGATGCAGCACACCAACTTCTGACAGTAAGAAAAAGCTTAAGCTCAGTCCAAAGCTGTACATAAGTTAATCATAGGTAGAATAGTTGTTCAAGTCTGTCTGCAGCTATTACCTCTGTACGGTATTTAGTCCTGCAAGGTTTTTTTTCTTCCTCCCAGCTCGATGTGTGTCCACCTCTTAAATAAAGACAACACTGAGGGAGTAAGGTTTCCTTTAAAGGAAAATAAACATTTACATTATTTGACCAATGTATTGTGTTATTGGTCATGTTATCCCTTAAGTGCATGAGACATCTATGAGAGAAGATTCAGATTCAGAGAAGTTGGGTTTCGTTGTTCTGACATTGTATGTTGGTAATGACCTGTCCTACATCTGTTTTTTTTTAACTCTTGCTCTGGTGTGTTGAAGCAAAGTTCAGAATTTTCACTTGTTTTAAGCTTCTCATACTCCAGCATCGTCTTTTGGTTTATTCAACATCTATTCCTTATGTGATTCTGTCCAACACTGGAGACTCTGTAGATGGGGCACAAGATCACTGTCACACATTTTGATTAGTGTATCAATAGTGTACTGTGCCAGTTTCTATACAGCTCTGTCAACATCCTAACATATGACATTTTAGTGCTGACCATTTTAAACGCACCAAAATGGCTTATCTATCTATCTGTTTCATACTATCAGTCCTGACAGTAGCTGGTGTGTATCCTTGTAACGCCCACACTCCTGTAAGGATGGTTACTGACAAGAGATAAAGTAGAAACAGGCCAAGGAGACAAGTTTTTCTCTTTTAAACATTGTTTTATTGAAATGTTAAGTATTTAATGTCAGGTATTTAAAACAAAAGGTATGCTCACATTTAAAGGACAAAATAAGCACTTAAATCAAATGAAACAATGAAAAAGTTGTGCTGTATAAAGTAAAAAACATAAAATGCAGCAGCCTACAAAACAAGCAAATTATACATACTTTGTTAATCTAACATCAAAATTTATGCTCCTTCTGTAATCCTCCAGAAGGGCCCATTGTTGCTTAACCAAGCAAATATGTTCTGGTTTCTACGTGTAACCATGCTCACTGCTCATGGATATGGAGGACCGAAACTGCCAAAATGAAAAATAAATATACTAAAAAATAAATATAGGCATTAATTCATTAATACATGTGACATAAATTGATATTTCTGTTTTAATTAGTTTGAATTCTGTATTTATTTACCTTTACATTAATTCCCCTATTCTTAAAAGTTGAGGTGACAAATGACAAAGGTAAAGATAACTTTGTCATTTGATACGTTATTATCATAAAAATGTGGCCGCTTTAAGGAGAGATTATTATTCACTGTTCTGTAAACATTTATGATTGTAATGCAGATCATACGACCAAACCACTCACCTAAATACACCACATCACTTCATCTGATGTGTAGATTTGCTTTAGAAATGGAAATGCACCTTTTCTATCTCTTGTCTCCTCTGTTGCATCCATACATTATCAAGACTTCAGCTTCCAGGCTCAGCTTGTAACTGCTTTATCTTAAAGCCACAGGAGAGGCCCGACAATGGATACGTGTGTGTGTGTGTGTGTGTGTGTATGTGTGTGTGTGTGTGTGTGTGTGGGGGAGTTGGGGGGAGGGGCTGGTCGTTAATGCTAAAATCAATCAGTAAATCAGGAGCACAGCCTGCAGAAGGGCCACACTGCCAGCGATGATTCTCACTGGAAGCTTCGAGCAATAAAGGGAGAGAAAAGAGGGAGGGAAGTGGATGAGTCATCTTAGGGAAATGAAGGAAATTGCATAGTAAAGGTGGCAGATTGGTGTTCATAGCTCCCACAAGGACAAGGGTTGTGTGTCCCCTTGTCACACCCTGTCACTGGATAAAAGGTTGCCATTTACCAACACATCATGAAAAGTGACAGAGAGAGGCCTGAAAGCAGTGAGAGGCAAAGGCAAGTGGAGGTTGAGGGTGATGTCTTCTGATGGTTCATTGCTGTTAGTTTGAGCCATTTACCTGGCTGGGGTCCAACTAGTTCACCTCCTCATGAGGCCCAGGCTGTATTAAAACCGGCCTGCCAGAGAAGAGTGGAGTATTCAGTGTGTTTGCTGGGAGACTGCAGGAGGCCAGCATACTTTAAACCTCTCAGGGGTCTGTTGAGGGCCTCTCCATTCTTCCTACAAACAGATGGAGCTGTGACTGAGGAATGTACAATACATACAGACGCTTGTGGAAATAAAGGAAAGCCATGAACAATGCAACAGCAAAAGTTTGGTCCTAGTGCAAGATTTGTATTTATAAATGATTAATTAGTACAGCTGTATGTGCAATTGATAAACAAAGATCCCTGTAATGTACGCTTCGGCTTGTTGCAAGTGGTCTATAGGCTACGTGCTGTACTCTTAACTGCAGTGCAGTTTGCAGCCAGCCAGAGTCTGTGAGGGTGGACCTGCCCTGGCTGCCAGGCCTTAATGGATATATATGCTTTCCAGATGCGTTGTTAATGAGTTCATGTAAGAGAGGTATAGGACAGTTGGTATCCAATCCACTGATATGTGGATGAGATAAAAACACAACCTTTGCCAAAATTATAAGGTATTTGAAGACCTCTCTCCTGGTTGTATTTAGTATACAATGCATTACACATGTACATACGCAGGCAAGCAAGCAGGGATGGGGGGGCTAAAGGGCTAAAGGGTGTGTCTGTGCTGCTTTCCCAGCCTGGCAAAACAAACTCATAGCTTACAGTGGGGTCAGGTCATTGGAGCTGGAGTTGTTGACAAAAACCTCCTTGAGGAGATGTCAGTAATGACGCAGAAAGTTGTAAATCTGTACAATGTGTAATTAATTCCAAGTTTCTCAGCTTAATGCCATTTCAGCATTGTGCTTTTTGAAAACAGACCTTGTTTATTGTGAGGGAAGTGGAGCTGGGCTGAAAAAACAACAGAGAGGCAGGCAGTCATCTAAATATGATACAGATCATTAATATCAATGAAAATGGGCATTGTCAAATCATATAGGGCTATGTGATAATCATCCTTCTGTTGCTATATACCATATATAAAACAACAACACAGGACAGGCAATGAAGAAAGCATTTACAACTTCCATATAACTAACCCAAACATGTGGTTGTTTGTGTTTGTGCATTGTTGTAAATTGTTGAACATATCTAACATGCAGACTATGTGAGATAACAATGATGTAACGTGATAGAGTGCACTTGTATCTTGAATGAGTCAAAACAGGATGGAGGCGGAAAACAATTTTTTTGAGTTTGTGTCAACATTTTTTCAACTATGTGAGGCTTAGACATTATGACATTATAGGGCTCTTTCACTGGAGATATTTTGACATGTCACAGTGAGAAAGGTAGGGTATCAATAACAAGATTAATGATGGCTGAATTCCTTTTAGCTCTTTCAGTTTCAGGGTCCTGGTATTGCGCATTCTGGCTCACTGCTGCACTGTCATGACTTACTGAGACACTTAGAATAGAACAGAGCCATTGTTAATGTTATAAGTAACACCTGTGCCTTTCCTGCTATCAGAAGTCAAACTGTCTGCTATGAGAAAAGGTCTAATTACATTGAGTCAGGAACATCTTTTGATGTCATACACCTCCTTACACACACTTCTATATATCGACATGGGCAGAGGCGGGGGGGTTAATTGTACACATCCACCATCTATTCATCCAGATTCATTTTCCATTAGCAGTAAGGCCTTTAGAGAGTCTGGAAGTTGGTACCTCCAGATGGGGTCAGAGATTTAGTCCCCCCCTGTGAGACCTGGGTGTCATATTACACTCATAAAAGGCACAGGCTCACACACATCAGTGTATGCACAAAATACACAATCAGGCACAGTGTACTTTACTGTGCACACTCAGAGGAGATGACACACAGCCAGCCAGTATGCAGAATATTTGAATGATTAATCTGCCGTCTCCCCAACTTCTTGATCCAAGTTGAACAAGAATACACTGGTATTTATATTCCACTGATGATCATATCTTCTTATCTATCTACCTTTAACATGGCTGTGTAGAAATCTCTGTAACAGTATTG